TTAGAAACAAACATGAAGGCCAAAGCCAGACTCATCATTTATCACTAATTTGGAATAGCTATTTTTCAAACATTTCTCAAACTAAATCTTAAAGGAAATCCAAGAAATAAAAGCAGGGCTGTCCTAGTTAAAGGAAGAAGAACCTGGATCCTTGTGCCTTGGGTCACCTTTTAGAAGCCTACAACCGAATCACATGCAGTTTAAAAACCACTATGCTCAAGCAAACGGCTTATAAGGATTCAACCCTATAAAGGGGGAAAAACAAGCTATAGACTGAAAAAAAATATTTGCAAACCACATCATCAACCAAAGACGTATCTAAAATGTATGAAGAACTTTTAAAACTCAACGGTAAAAAAACAAACAATCTAATTAGACTATGGGCAGAATACATGAACAGATGGCAGATAAACACATGAAAAGATGTTCAGTATAAGTGGCCAGTAGGGAAGTGCAAATTAAAACGACAGCAAGATAATACTACACAACTATCAAAATGGCTAAAATTAAAAATAATGACAACAAATACTGATGAGGATGCATAGAAACTGGATTATTCATGCATTGCTGGTAGAAATGTAGCATGGTACAGTAACTCTGGAATAGAATATGGCAGTTTCTTCTAAAACTAGATATGAGCTTACTATAGGGCACAACAGTTTTCTCTTGGATATTATCCCAGAGAAATGAAAACTTAAGTTTATGAAAAACCTGTACCAATTAATAATTCCTCCACCCTATTACTCTTTATCTTCCCATATTCATCAGCTCCTGGCATATTGCATATCCATTTCTTTGTTTATTATCTGGCTTTTTCACTAGAGTATAAGATTTATTAAAAACAAGAATTTCTCCAAACAAATTTAGAGAAATTTATTTAGAGAAATAGTGGGCAAAGGACATACATAAAGAGACATTTTTCAAAAGAAGATATACATGCAGTCAACAGCATGTGAAAAAATGCATAAACTGATCATGAGAAATGTAAATCAAAACCACGATGAGATACCATCTCACACCAGTCAGGATGGCTATCATTAAAAGGTCAAAAACTAACAGATGTTAGCAAGGCTGAGGAGAAAAAGACATGCTTATACACTGCTGGTGGGAGTGCAAATGAGTTCAGCCATTCTGGAAAGCAATTTGGTGGTTTCTGAAAGAACTTAAAGCATGCCCATATGTTCATTTTAGCACTATTCATAATAGCACAGATAGGCATCAACCTAAGTGCCCATCAGTAGTAGACTGGATAAAGAAAATGTGGTACATATACACCATGGAATACTATGCAGCCATTAAAAAATGAGAACATGTTCTTTGCAGCAACATGCATGGAGCTAGAGGCCACTATCCTAAGTAAACTGACACAGTAACAGAAAACCAAATACTGCATGTTCTCACTTATAAGTGGGAGTTAAACATTGGGTACTCATGGGCACTAAGGGAACAACAGGCAGCTACTTGAGGGTGGAGGGTGGGAGGAGGGTGAGGATCAAAAAAACTACCTATCAGGTACTATGCTTATTGCCTGGGTGACAAAATAATCTGTATATTAAACCCCCATGATATGCAATTTACCTATATAACAAACCTGTACATTTACCCCGAATCTATAGTAAACGTTTAAAAAAATGAGAGGTTTTTCAGTTACATTCATTGCCATATTCCCAGCATCAAGAATGGTACCTGGCATTAGTAAGTATGTAATACATTGCAAGTGGATTTGTTCTTCAATGGAAAAGGATTATAAAGCAAATTTGGAAGAGCTGGAGACTCCCACCAAGCTGAACTGGTGTTTCTATCTGAATCTGCCCTGGCATGGAATCTGAGTATTTCAAACATAGTTAAAAATGAACACTAGGGAATTTTTTAAGCACTTACTTTGGTAACTCTATATGAAGGATCTATAATTAGGAGTCTGCAGCAGGGTGCTTGGACCAACAAAATTATTCAAATACTAAATAAAGTAGAGTTTGCCATTTCAGTGGCAAAAACCGCAATTACTTTTGCACCAACCTAAATAGCATGGCTTACCTGGTTTAAACAGTGGTGTTGGAAAAATTAGTAAATAAGCCTACAAACTGTTATCCTAAACTCTAGGTCTCCTTGAATCCGTAACCTGGGAGTTGGTACATGAGGAAGTACAAAGACGGCAAATAACTAACCTGTGAGCAGTTTGCTGAGAAAGACTTCTGAGATCTTAGAATTTAGCAGAAAAGAATACATGATCAGCTGAGCACGATGGTTCATGCCTGTAATCCCAGCACTTTGGGAGGCCAAGGTGGGGGGAATCACAATGTCAAGAAATTGAGACCATCCTGGCCAACATGGTGAAACCTTGTCGCTGCTAAAAACACAAAAATTACCTGGACATGGTGGCACACCCCTGTAGTCCCAGCTACTCAGGAGGCTGAGGCAGGAGAATTGCTTGAACCCAGAAGGCGGAGGTTGCAGTGATCCAAGATTGCACCACTGCACTTCAGCCTGGCAACAGAGTGAGACTCTGTCTCAAAAAGAAAAAAAAAGAATACGTGATCGATTCGTGAATGATATCATGGCCTCCTTACAACATTATACCTACCACTGCTTTTTGCCATCTGATTGTGGTAGAAATTTTAAGATCTGCCTCTGAAATCACTAGAGTTGTATTTGAAACTTAACTTTACCTCTTACTAGCCTAATCATTATAGCCGGGTTGTTTAACCTCTGACTCCGTTTTCTCATTAAATATTCTTAAATAGTAAAAATGGTGGCAGGCAGGGAGTACGTTAACTTTACTTAATAAGATAATGTGAGACTTTGAGTGTTAAAAATGAATATAAAATGCTTAGCTCAGTGCTTTGCATGTAGAGGATATTGAATAGATATTACTTTTCTCCCAGGCAATATTGAGGAAAAACTATGACTTAATTCTGGCTTAAGGGAAAAGACAGGCCAAAATATTGAGGCTGTATAGGACTAAGAGGTGCCCCTAATGGTGTAACCTACCTGAGTGAGACCTTAGGTTTCCTGACATGAAGCTGTTGAGTTTTCACTTGGTCTGAATTAGTTTGAATTTATTTGGCCATTTAACTTAGCACCTAGTATTATACTGAAGAGTCAGATAAAGTTAGAAATTTAAGGTTAGAAATTTTTATAAATAAGCTCACAATTCCTATTTCTAAAAATTGCTTACTAATCTTTTTTTTCAACTTGATGTCTCTCCAGAACATCTCTTGATCAAGCACTAGAGCTATGATATATTTACATTTGGTACCTACATATTAAATGTGCATTTTTTAATTGAAAATTATAAAATGGAACTATATGTATTTAATAGAAATTTAGACAGAAACAGTTATGCTATATCCAGGGTTAGTCTTAGAATAATACTGACTTTTGTGTTAATGTAATTAACAGTTAAAAAGCATGTATTTAATTTCTGGTTAGTTTTTGTTTAGAGTTAGTAGAGAAATGCTTCTTGGAATTAAATTATTGGAGATTTGGCATAATTTTTCCCAGATTAGATGTGCATGCCTTAGAACTGAAAGAAGACGATTTTCAGTTGCTTTGTGGCATTCTGTCTAATGCCCCTTAAAAGATCTTTTTGCTCTCTATAAATATTTTTTGAGTGGCTCAAGATGCTTTACCTGTATTTAAAACTTGGCAATTTAAAAATACATTCCGTTTTAGTGGAAAGTTTAAAGATACATTTTTTTCCTCCAAATAGATGTTATGGAAAGTGTCTGCACCAAGTGTTAGGTAACTTGCTATGTGAGCCTTTGCAAATCACTTCATCTTAATGGGCCTTACCTTCTCTGCTGTAAATGTCTGAATGTGAGCTAAAGTAATCTCAGCTTTTTTTGAGGCTGTCTGGTTATCTTCTCACCTTCTTTATTTCCTCTTCTGCTGCATTTGCCCAACTGCCTCAGAGGCCAACAGGGTGTCACTCTTAGCAACTTCAATCATTTAATTAAATATTGTCAGACTATTCTTTTCCATCTGCTAATAGCAAGCTTTCATTCTTATCTCTGAATTTCCTTTCACTCTAGTGATGAAAACCCACTTGCCTTATCTTCTTTTCTTTATTCTTTTCCTGCATAGACTATGAATGTCTCTGGATATTCTGCCATTCAAATTTAGAGCTCTGCATAGAATCTTAGAATCTTTAGTTTTCATATCTATTGTACTTGTATTTCTTATTTTTAGTGTTTTTTTTGAGATTCTAGAATATCTTGATATTTTTTTCATTAGTAGAATAATAAATGTCTCCGATTACTTGATTTTGTCATGTAATTAAGTCATTTGAAAATGTACGTGTTGACTTTTTAGTTTGTTTTTAAATGAACAGCCAAACTTAGGGATAGAAAATGAATGCAGATATACATATTTTGATTTTCAGGTCATTTGTCCTGTCAAATATATTTGTAGTCATAGTTGAGAGTAGCAGTTTAAATTTACTATTGTTAAACATGGTTGGAAAGAACCTCTCCACAGTAGTTAATAAGATCATACCAGTCTTTTCTGTATTTGCGAAGAATAATAATCAATTGTAATGTTTTATGTTTGTTTTCAATTTACCTATTGGTAAAACATACTTTTTTATATCTATATACATATTGTTTTCATTTTCTCAGCTCTTTGTCAGGGAAATTTTATATCAGACATTTCAAGGCACTTAATACAAACATTTTTACTGAAGTGTAATTATTAATTGGAAGAGTAATAAGAATAACAGTAATTTGCCTTTAAAAGATGTATTGTTGTTATTGGCACTCTTAGTAAGTTTCTTTTACTTTCCAGTGTTGAGATTTTCCAAATGGCCAGCCAACTCTCTGTACTTAGATGTTATATTAAAAAGTAACAGGAACCTATTCAAGGATTTTTGATGTTGCACTGTGACTTGCTTTTTCTTTTCTAATATGTTGTTTGAACTGTGGTAAGCTTTATAAATAACCGAGGCCACTTTTTCTTAAGGTTTTGATTTTTCATACAAAATCTTGTTTCTTTTTAAAATCTAGGTGACTGTGGGGATCATGTTGTTATAATGAATACAAGACACATTGCATTTTCTGGAAACAAATGGGAGCAAAAAGTATACTCCTCGCATACTGGGTAAGATAATGCCATTGTCAGGGAAAGTAGGTAGTTAAAATATATCGCTTTAAGAATAACAGTTGTTCTTATTCAAAAGATAAAAAGGTATTTTTAAAAATTGGCATTTATTACTAATTTTATCATGCCATGTATATAATTTACTCCATTTTTAAAACCACAAAACTGTACCAAATAACTATTACCTGACAGTATTTGTTTATCCTCAAAATGTTTTATATAACCTGTGAACAAGATTATTCTCATTTTTTAGTCACTTTTTTACTTCTTTGTTTCTGCTTTCTGTAATTCATCTTACTGCTGTTTTCAGAACCATCCTGAACACCTGAGTTAACAAGATGCTTAAGGAATGGTCTCTCTTCTCTAAATAAAATCTTATTTGTCAGTATCTCTCTTACGTGAATACACTCACCTGGGTGTGTTCTGATAGTTTCTAAATACAACATGACTCTCTTCCTCCGTCTTTCATTTAGGCAGTCTTCTGTCACAATGTAACTTTTCTTCAAGGCCATAGTATTTATATGTTTGCATTTACTGTCAGCTAAAACTCCTGAGTCTTTTTCAGGTATACTGTTGAATCAGGTCTCCTTCTTCCTGTGTGCTTTTAGTTGTATTTTAATTCAATTGCAAGACCTTAAGTTTACTCCGTGTTAAATTTTATCTCCAGCCTTTTAAGATTCTGATTTTACCGTCTAACGCATTAGTTAGCCCATAGCTTCAGGTCATGTGCACATTTAATTAAGTATACTTTCTATACTGTTACCCAAGTTATGGTTAGAAATGCTGATCTTTTATTCTTGATCAAAATCACTGTTTTATTTCCACCTACACCTTTGCCTTTGATGTTCCCATCTGATTCTTTTCATCTCTTGCCCAAGTGCATCTTAAATATTTGGAACAACGTTTTTGCTTCCTTGAGCCAGCCTTTACCCATTCTGCCCCTTAAAATGCATACATGAAATCTTTATAACTTAACAAAGAATTTACGTCTGTCTTTAGTGATTTCAGCTATTGGCAAATCTCTATCTGTAAACTAAGTTCTACAAAATTGAGAGGTCATTGGGAAAGAAATATTAAAAGTCAGAATAACATAACATAAAAGCATAAAAGGAAATATTGACACAAATGCTATGGCAATTACTATAGCAATAATATCTGTAGTATTACTGCAAATGAAGGAAAATAGCAGCACAGCCAGTAGTGAACAGCTACCATCATGTATACGTCAGCTGGTCGTGCCCCTGTTTGTAGTGCTTTCTCACTGATAGATGAAAATTCAAACTCCTTTACTAGTCATTGGAAACCAGTTTCCACTGCTGTTTTCCTGGTTCTTCTTAGACAACTTACTGCTTTTTCATCCCTTTCTGCCTTTGCATGTGTTGTTCCCCTGACAGTGAGGAATTCTCCTATTTATCCATTAAAAATTGACTCAGATGTCACATTTTCTGGGATACCTTTTCTATTTCCCCATCACTGAAAGAGTTGATTGCTTTTGCTTTCTGTTGACTCTTCACTTACACTTTGGACATACTACTTCATTATGCTCATAACACTATATTACAATTACATATTCAAAATTCAGCTTGCTAGTTGTAAAATTTTTAGGACATACTAATTTTAGAAAATGTAGAGACATTTAAAGAGGGAAGTAAAATTCACTCTGATCCCGTGACTTAATATTTTAATTTAATTATTTTAAGTCAGCCCTCCATATCTATGGATTCCACATTGTGGAAATAAAAAATTTTGTTTTATTTCGTTTTGTTCTTTGAGATGGAGTCTTGCTCTGTCACCCAGTGTGGAGTGTAGTGGTGCCATCTTGGATTACTATAACCTCCACCTCCCAGGTTCAAGTGATTTTCCTGCCTCAGCGTAATGAGTAGCTGGGACTATAGGCATGCACCACCATGCTCGGCTAATTTTTGTATTTTTAGTAGGGATGGGGTTTCACCATGTTGGCCAGACCGGTCTTGAACTCCTGAGCTGAGGTGATCCGCCTGCCCTGGCCTCCCAAAGTGCTGTGATTATAGGCATGAGGCACTGCACCCGGCCCATAATATTTTTTTTTTAAGTTGTATCAATACTGAACATGTATAAATGTTTTTCTTATCATTGTTCCCTAAACAATATAGTGTAACAACTATTTACATAGCATTTACATTATATTGGATATTATAAGTAATCTAGAGATGTTTTAAAGTATATGAGAGGATGTGTGTAGGTTATATGCAGTTACTACATCGTTTTATATCAGGGACATGAACATCCCTGGAGTTTGGTATCCTCAGGAGGTCCTGGAATTAGTCCTCCACAGATTCAGAGGGATAACTGTATATTCATGTTTATATCCTTTTTCGCTCAATAGGAAATTTCAGAGAACCTTTTTGTAAATATTATTTTTGGTTACTAAGTAGTAGTGTACAAAATGATTTACAATACTTGATCTTTGTTCTGTTTTTTTTTTTTTTTAATGAATATTTTGGCTTTTCTAAAGGGCTGGTAAACATCATTTTTTCAATTCTTGTTTTTTTGTTGTTTTTTTTTTTAACTTTTAAGTTCAGGGGTAATTTGTTACATAGATAAATTTGTATCATGGGGGTTTGTCATACAGATTATTTCATCAACCAGGTATTAAGCCCAGTCCCCATTAGTCATTTTCCCCTCTCTACTCCCACCCGCCACCCTCCAATAGGCCCCAGTGTGTGTTGTTTCCCTCTGTGTCCGTGTGTGCTCATCATTGAGCTCCCACTTATAAGTGAGAATATGCAGTGTTTGGTTTTCTGTTCCTGTGTTAGTTTGCTTAGAATAATGGCCTCCAGCTGCATCCATGTTGCTGCAAAGGACATGATCTTGTTCTTTTTTTTTATGGCTATGTAGTATTTCATGGTATATATGTACCATATTTTCTTTGTCCAGTCTACCATTGATGGGCATATAGGTTAATTACATGTCATTGTTATAATGAATAGTGCTGCAATGAACATACATGTGGATGTGCTTTCATAATAGAACACTTTATATTCCTTAGTGTATGTACCTAGTAATGGGATTGCTGGGTCGAATGGTAGTTCTGTCTATGTAGGACTTTGAGGAATCTCCACACTGTCTTCCACAATGGTTGACGTAATTTACACTCCCACCAGCAGTGTAAAAGCATTCCTTTTTCTCTACAACCTTGCCAGCATCTGCTTTTTTTTTTTTCTTTTTAATAATAGCCATTCTGACTGGTGTGAGATGATATCTCATTGTGTTTTTGATTTGCATTTCTCTAATAATCAGTGATATTGAGCCTTTTTTCATGATTATTGGCCACATGTATGTCTTCTTTTGAAACATGCCTTTTCCTGTCCTTTGCCCACTTTTTAATGGGGTTTGTTTTTTCTTCTTGTAAATTTAAGTTCCTTATGATGCTGGATATTAGAACTTTGCCAGATGCATAGTTTGCAAAACTTTTCTCCCCTCTGTAGGTGTCTGTTTACTCTGTTAGTTTCTTTTGTTGTGCAGAAGCTCTTTAGTTTAATTACATCCCACCTGTCAATTTATGCTTTTGTTGCAATTGCATTTTGTATCTTTATCTTCATCATGAAATCTTTGCCCATGCCTGTGTTCTTGTTGTTATTATTATTATTATTTTTTTTTATTTTTATGTTCTTAATACTTTAAGTTCTGGGGTACATGTGCCACTCATGCAGAATTGTTACATAGGTATACAAATGCCATGGTGGTTTGCTCCATCCATCCCCCATCACCTACATCAGGTATTTCTCCTAATGTTATCTCTCCCTACATTGATTTTGTATCCTGAGACTTTGCTGAAGGTGCTTATGAGCTTAAGCAGATTTTGGGCTGAGATGATGGAGTCTTATAAATATATAATTCATCATCTCCAAATAGAGACAATTTGATTTCCTCTTTTCCAAATTGAATACCCTTTATTTCTTTTTCTTGCCTGATTGCTCTGGCCAGAGCTTCCAATACTATGTTGAATAGGAGTGGTGAGAGAGGACATCCTTGTCTAGTGCCAGTTTTCAAAGGGATTGCTTCCAGTTTTTGCCCCTTCAATATGATATTGGCTGTGGGTTTGTTGTAAATAGCTTTTATTATTTTGAGATACATTCCATCGATACCTAGTTTATTGAGAGTTTTTAGCATAAAGGACTGTTGAATTTTGTGGGAGGCCTTCTCTGCGTCTATTGAGATAATCATGTGGTTTTTGTCTTTGGTTCTGTTTATGTGATGGATTATGTTTATAGATGTGTGTATGTTGAACCAGCCTTGCATCCTCAGGATGAAGCCCACTTGATTGTGTTGGATAAGCTTTTTGATGTGCTGTTGGATTCGGTTTGTCAGTATTTTATTGAAGATTTTTACACCACTGTTCATCATGGATATTGGCCTAAAATTTTCTTTTTTGTTTGTGTCTCTGCCAGGTTTTGGTATCAGGATGATTTTGGTCTCATAAAATGAGTTAGGGAGGAGTCCCTCTTTTTGTATTGTTTGGAATAGTTTCAGAAGGAATAGTACCAGCTCCTTTTTGTATGTCTTGTAGAATTTGGCTGTGAACTCATCTGGTCCTGGGACTTTTTTTGCTTGGTATGGTATTGCTGCCTCAACTTCAGACCTTGTTATTGGTCTGTTCAGGGATTCAACTTCTTCCTGGTTTAGTCTTGGGAGGCTGTAAGTGTCCAGGAATTTATTCATTTCTTCTAGATTTACTGGTTTATGTGCACAGAAGTGTTTGTAGTAATCTCTGATGGTAGTTTGTATTTCTGTGGGATCAGTGGTGATATCCTCTTTATCATTTTTTATTGCATCTATTTGATTCTTCTTTTTTTATTGTTAGTCTGGCTAGCAGTCTATCTATTTTGTTGATCTTCACAAAACAAGCTCCTGGATTTACTGATTTTTTGAAGGGTTTTTTATGTCTCTATCTCCGTCAGTTCTGCTCTGATCTTAGTTATTTCTTGTCTTCTGCTAGCTTTTGAATTTGTTTGATCTTGCTCCTCTAGTTCTTTTCATTGTGATGATAGGGTGTCGATTTTTGATCTTTCCTTGCTTCTCAGGTAGGCATTTAGTGCTATAGATTTCCCTCTAGACACTGCTTTAAAAGTGTCCCAGAGATTCTGATAACGTTGTATCTTTGTTCTCATTGGTTTCAAAGAACATCTTTATTTCTGCCTTCATTTCATTATTTATCCAGTAGTCATTCAGGAGCAGGTTGTTCAGTTTCCATGAAGTTGTGCAATTTTGAGTGAGTTTCTTAATCCTGAGTTGGATTTAACTGCACTGTAGTCTGAGAGACTGTTATGATTTCCATTCTTTTGCATTGCTGAGGAGTGATTTACTTCCAATTATGTGGTCAGTTTTAGAGTAAGTGTGATGTGGTGCTGAGAAGAATGTATATTCTGTGGATTTGGGGTGGAGAGTTCTGTAGATATCTGTTAGATCTGCTTGGTCTAGGTCTGCGTTCAAGTCCTGGAAATCCTTGTTAATTTTCTGTCTCGTTGATCTGTCTAATATTCACAGTGGAGTGTTAAAGTCTCCCGCTATTATTGTGTGGGAGTCTCGGTCTCTTTGCAGGTCGTTAAGAACTTGCTTTATGTGTCTGGGTGCTCGTGTATTGGGTACGTGTATAGTTATATGCATAACTATAGGATAGTTAGCACTTCTTGTTGCATTGATCCCTTATCCATTATGTACATTCTTTGTCTGTTTCATCTTTGTTGGTTTAAAGTCTGTTTTATCAAAGACTAGGATTGCAAACCCTGCTTTTTTTTAGCTCTCCATTTGCTTGGTAAATCTTCCTCCATCCCTTTATTTTGAGCCTACGTGTGTCTTTGCATGTGAGATGGGTTTCCCAAATACAGCACACCAATGGGTCTTGACTCTTTATCCAGTTTGCCAATCTGTGTTTTTTGATTGGGGCACTTAGCCCATTTATATTTAAAGTTAATATTCTCCATCCCATACTGGAGGAAAGAATGTAGTTATTTTTTTACTTGTCAAAATCAATTGAATGTTGCATTACTCAAGTCATCCCTTGCTCAGAATTTTACATTAGCTTTCCAAATACTTCAGAATAAAGTCCAAACTTCTGAAATATATTGTAAATGGTATGTTTTAGAATTTGCCATCTCAGTTTTCAAATTAAGAAGATCATCTTTTAGCATAGAAATTGTATTTTTTTTTTCATGGAGAGAAAGAATGCAGGAATAAAGAAGTCTAGACAGGCATTTCTTTTTCTAAACTGAAATTCCATGAAAAAAGAGAATATCAGTTTAAAAATTACCCATCTTTCTCAGCAAACTTCTAACTTTGATAAGTTTTATTCCTAAGACATGTTTACTTAAATCATCTTTAAAATATATTTCAAATTTTATTGAAGGGAACATATGGAAAGAATCACATTTATGTAATCTTAAGGTTTTTTACAGACTCCAGGCTGACTTTCTAATTTTTTCCCCTTCTTGAAAAACATTTGGACTTTGTTTATCTATTTAGGATAATAGAACCTTGCAACTATGTATTTATTGTTTTTGTTTTAAATTTCCCAGTCTCTTTCACAAATATATTTTCATTTGACTCAGAAATCTTGTGAGGTAGATGATATCATTTTTTCATATGAGTAAAATTATACGCAGAGAGGTAAAATGAGTTGCCTAATATTACTCTGTGAGTCACTGACAAACCCTAGATTCCAGACCTGCCCCTGGGGTATCTGGAAGCTAAGCTGCCTCCAGTACTATTCACTGTATATTTTGTAATTGCCTCTTTTTTCATTTATAAAGAATAATTGATCTGAACACAATGAAATATTGTGTTACTTAGAGCCAACATATAGCACTTAGAAACCTTTACAAACTTCTAATGGGAAATATGATTATTTGCTGTCTAGAGTATGAACTTGACTTTAGAAGCAAGTGTCTACCAACATTTTCCCCAGACCTAACCCACAGCTTATACAGTTTATCTAATTTGTTGAGGAACATGAAATATTCTGGCTTGTTAAATCAAATAGTAATAAACTACCCCATAATGAGTGGGTGAATTAATAACTTAAAATTTAGGTAGAAATATACTTATGCCAATAAATTTTTTCAAGAAGTAGAACTTTTTATGATGTAATGTTAGTTGACCATTTAAGAGAATGACATTTTAAAAAGCATCGATTACTACCTAATTTTGAAAACACTAATGAACAGCATAGTTTTCAGAAACAATTTATTAAAATATTTTCTTATTATAAAAGAATGATCAGCTTAATAATACAGCATCAGCCTATGCCTAGTTTAATGTCTTTGCTCCTTTTAACAGCTACCCAGGTGGATTTACACAAGTAACAGCTGCCCAGCTTCACCGGAAGGATCCAGTGGCAGTAAGTCTCTTGCATTTACATATATTTTCAAACATGCAAAGTATATTCTTCTTATATTCTTACTTTTTTTGTTAACTTGAATATTGTCTTTTCTCAAAGAGTTTATTTTTATTTATTAATTTATTATTAACATCTCAACTACAGATTTATTCTTACAGGTTGGTCCATTTTTTTCTTGAAAAAAATAAGGTTCTTAAAAATATATCTCTTTTATTTTATTACAGTTTATTTTTTTGAAGACAGATTCTCACTCTGTCACCCAGGCTAGAGCACAGTGGCACAATCATAGCTCACTGTAGCCTCAAATTCCTGGGCCCAAGGGTTCTTCCCACCTCAGCCTCTCAAGTAGCTGGTTGATTTGTATCCTGTGACGTCTTTATCCATTGACTTTTTCCATATATGTAGGATTATTTAAAATAAATCTCTGGAAGTGTAATGAATTTCAAGATCAAAGGAGTGATCATTTATAGGTCTTTTGATAGGTATTTTCAATCATGTAATCACACCACCACACCTACTAAAATTTTTAATTTTTTGTGGAGACTGTGTTTTCCTATGTTGCCCAATTTTGTCTCAAATTCCTTGGCTCAAGCCATCCTCCAACCTCAGCGTCCCAAGTGCTGGGATTACAGGGGAGAGCCACCACACTCAGACATTATTCTGTTTTTAATTTGTGTTTTTAAAGACAGGATTGTGCTATATTGCCCAGACTGGACTCCAGCTCCTTGACTCAAAACAGTCTTTCCATTTTGGCCTCCCAAACAGCTGGGACTATAGACACCCTGCTTGTTTGTTTGTTTGTTTCTGTCAATTTTTTCTTTATGTATTTTGAAGGTTTAGTGTTAGATGAATTTAAGATTGGAATTATAATCCTTCTAAACAATTGATCAGGGTTAATATGTACTGATCTCTTAATCTCCGGTAATGCTTTTTACCTTGAGGTCTATTTTTTCTGATATTAATATAGCTACATTAGCTGACTTTTGATTAGTGTTTGCCTCATACATTTCATTGTTTAAACTTGACCAAGTTATCTCGTTACAGGTGTATTTATTATAAACATCATGTAGCTAGATTTTTTTTTTTCTGTTCTTTCTTGCCTTCTTTTGGGATGGTTGAATTGATTTGTTATAGGTCTAAGGTTCATCAGTATTTTTACCTTCCTTCCTAATCAATGAAAGCCCTTTTTTATTGCCACCCTCCCTCCCCATCTACATGCTTTCTTTGTTGAAGATTTAAAAAAATAAAAAAAAAACTCTTCCAATTGAACATTCTTGTTATTGTTTTATTCTGTTATTGATATTTTTAAATTTTATTTTCTTACAATCCCTCCTTGTAACTCAGCCTACCTTTGGTATCAGTTTCCTTTTCCTTGAAGAACTTATTGTTGGCATTCTTATAGTCACATTCTCTTAATACTGAACTCAGCTTTTTGAAGCTATTACTCAACTGGAATTTAGCTTCTTTTATTGCTTTTGTAAATCAGATATCAATTTGACTGTTTCTTTGTGTGTACTCTTCTTTTTTTTCTGGATATCTTTAAGACCTTTTCATTGTCTTTGGTTTTCATATCTTTCTATGGAGTCTTATTTATTTGCTTTGAGGACTGGTGTCTTCAGTTATGGAAATGTGTTAGCTCTTAAATCTTCTAATATTGGGTCTGTCTCTCTATTCTCTATTTCTTCCCTTTGGAAATCTGGTTATAATAAGAGTAGACAGTTGCATTTTATTGTACATGATTCAGTACCTTTTTTTCATTCTTAATGTCTCACTGTCTCTGTGGGGCATTCTGAGTAATTTCTTCAGATGTGTTCTAGTTCCGTATCTTTTCACCTGTCTGTAATCTGATTAACCTTTTTCTGAGGTCCTGATTTCAATTAACTTTTTTCCGCTTTGTTAAAGCTTTATTATTTCGTTCTTTTTCAAATCTGCTGGTCAGTTTTGATAGTCTTCTGTTTCTTTATCATGTTTTGGTTCACTCTTTATATTTCTTTATGTATATTAAACATAATTCTTAGCATTTATATATGATTCTAATATTTGTGGCCTTGGTAGGTCTGCAGTTTATAATATCTGCTCAGTATACTTGGTAGGCTTATGTACCTTGAAACTTCATCTCTGGGAATTCTTTAAAGCCTGTGTTAAAAATGACTTTCCTCAAAAAAGATTCACTTAGCTTATAGCAACTGCATGCAGCTATACCAACCTAAGATTGCCTTAAGCTAAACTTTAGACTTACAGGATTTTGATCCCAGCAAGAAGGATGAATTTGGGACCTCAAAACCTTGTGAGGTCAGTTTTGTTTCATACATTAAAAAATATTTTAATAAACAATATTAGCTTCACTAATGTTTATTACTTTAGGTATTATTTGAGTTATATACTGGAAGAAGTTCTAATTCATACATCAATCACCAATTTTTCTAAAAGCAAAGTCTCTTGTTGTTTTACCATTTATTTTTTCTTTTACTATTGATAGACCTAACCTTTCAACTTTACTCATAGGATAGATAGCATTTTTTTTCCTATTAGAGACTATTTTTTTTTTAATTTAAAAAAAAAAAATTTTTTACTGCACTACATTAATAAATTAATTAAAAAAAATTTTTTTCTTTAGAAAAGCTAAACTTTAATTGTTCAGATTATTTTACAATGAAAATAAGTACCCAAAGACTGTCTTAAATGTCTACAACTGTACAAAAGATGAATACAAAACTCCCCGGCAGGCACTGGCAGGGGATGAGGCCCACCGTCCCCCACACTCTGGTATGGTTGGGTGTCCCTGCCCACCCCAAGCATCACCCATGCCACCTTGGTCCCCTCAACCTTGGGGGCAGGAGGGCACTGCCCCAGCGAGGGAAGGTCCTTACTTGGTGTCACTGGAATTTCTTTAAGAAAAGATTTTTAAAAGTAAGAGTCTAACAGCTGTCACTTCCTAAAATTAGGAAGTTGTAACTTTTGGTTAACTTACTACATTCAAAAATGTAACGCTGAGTCCAAAAAGTGTCTTAAATCACACAAAAAAGAACTCATTATAATTTTAAAAATAAGCCCAAAACACCCCAGAGAAATGCATCCAGAACTGAAACAGGCTGGGTCAGCAGGAGGGCGGTGGCCAGGGCAGCTGGGGGAATCTTGTGTGCCAGGTGTCCGCTGTCCGGCAAAGCCGTCGTCCCTCAGAGCCCCCAACCGAGGGCCCGCTGTGAGGCAGGCGGCCTAGGACACGTTGGTCATGGGCTTGTACTTCTTGAAGCACGTCCACTGGCCCGTGCCATAGTTCATCTCGAACGCTGTGTCCACCAGCATGGTGGTGCTGCCCTGGCCGTCCGCCTTGGGCAGGTCCTCTGTGTGCTCGCTCAGCTTGATCTGGATCACGTCCCCCTGCTCCTGGCACGGGTTCTCTCGGGAGCCAGCCATGAAGCCCAGGATGAGGGTCTTCTCGGGCCGCGTGACTTTGTTGGCCGTCTTGAACATCTCCTGGGCGGCGAACATCTGCTCTCGCGTGAGGGACAGGTTCTTCTTAGGCTGTTGCTGGGCAGGAGGCTGGGTCTGTGGGGCCACCATGGCCACCGGGGGTGTCTGAGTGGTAGGGGCGACAGCCAGGGGTGTGGCGGGTGTCAGGCGAGGTGGGCGCTGCAGGCCTTTTTACTGCAATACATTAATAAATTAGCAAAGTGTTAGACCTGAAAATATCCTTTTTTGTTTTCCTAAAATAATGAATAAAAATAAATATATATTGTCACGATGCAACCATTTGGTGTAGTACTGCCTAAAATTTTCTTGGTAAGGTTGGGGAGAAGGATATTTTATTTTAATAAAGCCTGATATACCATTTTGAAGTTCCGTGACTTACTATTTATTTTGTATTGTTTATATCTGTTTTGTAAAAGTGTGCTCAGAGTTTGCTTCTTAGGAAATATTTAATGTTTTGTTTCATAACCAGTGTGTTTTTAAGACTTAACAGGCCAAAGTATTTTTTTTTTTGCATATAATAGTATTAAGAGTTATAAGGGCTATTGATAATATATACAGCATTACAATAAAATTATACTTTTAATACTTTATAAATATTTTGAATGTTAAAATGAAAGTTTCTATTTTATGTTAACTACACTAGGAGGCAGTATAGTATAACTTTTTCATGTTAAAAATTTGGTATTAGGTAACATTTGTAGAAAGTGTTTTAAATTATTGTTTATGAACAGAGATTGAAATGGATTGTAAAATGTTTGAGGAAGGCTTAGGAAATATTTCAGAGTTAAATACATTTGGATTGAATATTACCTTATTAAAGGAGTTTAATTTTTTAAGACTAATTTTTACTATGTTTTGAAAAAGAATGGCTTGTCAAGGAAGAGATTTATTATTTTCTCTTAATTCGAATACTGTTTATCTAGAATAGTAGGCCTCTGCCAGTAGAAATAATTTGCTTATCAGTACTTACTGTGTGTGTGGCCTGTCAGAGAATTTATTTGGCAATGCAGCCTTCTGATTATTAGCAGAGGGTTGGAATATTGTTTGTGAAATGTGTTAATTAATATTTAATAGTTAAATAGGTAATAGTTTTAAATATTTTAAATTTTTTATAGTGATGTAGATTGTTCTAATTTCAAAGTAAATATACCAATTTAGCCCTTTCCTTATGTGTTTTTTCTCTCTGTCATATGTTTTAGTTTCTTTAAGAGGTTCTATGTCCTTATATTTTCTTCGGACATAGTTTCTCTATTTGATTTCCCCCCTTCCTATATATAATAAAGTTCTTCTGTGACACTAATGACATGTACCCTGGGATATGATCATATAAGGAAGGTCTTCAGTATTTACTAACTTTATCTTGTTCTATCTTTTTTATTTTCTGAATTTCTTAAAACTTACACTTCATGTCTATACAGCTAGAATCACTTTTTCACATGTACATGTTGTTTCATGTATATTTCTTTGTTTATATACATTTGTATGTCTACCTTTTTTTCCTCCCTGTTAGCATATAATCTTTTCACATCTTCTAGGTTTTCTTTAATTTGAGTGTGGTGTTTGCATTTTCTAATAGGGCAAATTTTTAAAATAGCAACTTAATAATTCAAATAAATACAACTGTATTTTTTATAAATGTGAAAATCAAATGCCATGTAATGCTACTAATAAAATAAAATTGCCTTTAGGATGATATTCGGAGTATGTAATTACTTGCTTATCCAGAAAAGATGCTGAATAGTCTTAACATTGTCAATTTCAGTTTACAACTTTTAAAACATTGAAAAATTTAAAAAGTAGTAACTAAATCAGTGCTATACAGTAGACATTTTTGCCATGATGGAAATACTCTGTTTCTACACTGTCAAACATGGTAACCACTAGCCACATAGCAACTGACCACTTGAGATGTGGCTTTTGTGACTAAGGAGCTAAATTTTTAATTGCTTTTAACAACAACATAAAATATATATATACACACACACACATATATATATATATATATATATAAAGACTTTATGTTTTTGAGACATCATTTAAATATATGTATTTATATAAATATATATATATTTTATATATATAAATATATATATTTAAATGATAAAATTATATATATATATTTAAATGATGTCTCAAAAACATAAAGTCTTAATACTAAGAGAAAATAGAAGATAGATGGAAAATGTATGGTATCCCTTTTGCTTTTGCATGTAATGAGACTTTGTAGTCTGATTTGATGAGAGAATAAAAGGAATAAAAAGGCCTCTTACAATGTAACCCTGTTCTAACATGTTTTTAGTGGCTTTAGCTTTAGTACACATCAAATTATACCCTTGAAATATGAGTGCAGATGATAGCAATCAATGATTTTATCTACAATTGGCACATATGAAGGTTATTTTTAATCTCCTCTTTTTTTCATTTTCTAAATAAACAATAAATGGAGCCAAAAAAAAAAGTAATGTACAAAGTAATAAAAGTTTCTTATCTGTTGCTTCCACATATCCACTTATGTCGGTTTCTTTCCTATATTCATGTTGAATTGAAACCCCTCATTTTCATCATCATTTCTAATTATGTTTGCTTTCTTACTATCCCAAGTCAGTTTTCTTATTGTGTCCTATGTATATCTATTTTTCAGATTGTAAAATTAGCTATTTATGGCAAGCTGCCAAAAAACCTTCACAGAAGAACAATGATGCAAAGGTTGCATCTTTTCCCAGATGAGGTGAGTCAGTGGTCATTGGTAACAATGCTTTTCCAAAATTTTCAATTAAATGTTTTATTTTCTTTTTGAATAAATGCCACAAACTTATTTTCAAACATTTTATATCAACTTCTGAAATATTTTTGTATTTTTAAATGAATATGTATGTATAAAATGATAATTTTATTAATATTTTAAAACATAAAATGAACCTTACGTTTTATTTTAATCACTGCTTGCTTTTCAACAAGGAGCTATGATCAGAACCCCTGTTAAAGTATTTGTTGATAATTTCATTCACTATGAAAAAGTGTTAATTTAGTTCAGCTTTTATGTGACCAGTAGCAAAACTTCTGTGAATCATGGATTAATAGCTTAACTTTGGTTGTTATTATTTTCGTGATTTAACTTTAGAATACTTGTTCATACTCATAATTGATTCTGCTAAAAATTACTTGGAAAAAAGTATAAACACTTTTATTTATTAGTATTATATTGTTTTAAGTACTTTTCTCCTTAATATAATGAAATACTAAAGCTTCTATAATAAAATAATTGAGTGCAGTACAGACTGCCTTGCTTTGAATCTGTGCTCTGTTATTTACTGACTGCATAGACATGGGCTCGTTACTTACCTCTATATTCTAATCTGTGAAATGGACATAATAATAGTACATATTTTATAAGATTGTTGTAAGGATTAAATAAAACACACTTGTAGATTGCTTAGAACAGGGCCTGACACAATAAGTGCCGGTTGCTGTCATTACCATGGTTTTAATTGTCCTTGTTCCTCCTGAAGGAATAATGTAGAAATTTATTCCAGAAAGGCCAGACCTGGTGGCGCACACCTGTGATCCCAGCACTTTGGGAGGTAGAGATAGGCGGATCAAAAGGTCAAGAGATAAGACTATCCTGGCCAACATGGTGAAAACCCATCTCTACTAAAAATACAAAAATTAGCTGAGCATCATGGCACACAACTGTAGTCCCAGCTACTAGGGAAGCTGAGGCAGGGGAATCACTTGAACCCTGGAGGTGGAGGTTGCAGTAAGCCAAGATCATGCCACTGCACTCCAGCCTGGTGACGGAGCAAGATTCTTGTCTCACAAAAGAAATTTATTCCAGAATATCGGGTTATAATGATTGTTCATGTTACTCATGTGCTCTTACTGTTAGCTTAAACAACACATGAATAGTTATTAATAATGAGTACATTATACATGCTTTATCAAAATGATTAAGTTATTGTCTTTGCAATAAATGAATAAGTAGAATAATTTTCTACTATTAACTTTACCTCTAAGGTAGCATGTTTGGGAGCAATGTCATCATCCAAGGATATCTTCATGATGAAATTGCAAAAATTTAAGAACTCCTATTTCTGATTGTATTGCCACATTTCTTTGGAAACCATAATTTCTAAAAGACACAAAAATAATATTTATTTCATTTACAAGATAGGTTTGAGTTTAGATATTTTAAGTATTCATGGTAGTTTAGTTAAATAGGAAATTACTTAATTTCAGACTATAAATGAGTCCAGTTCAAGTATTCAGAAGCATCACAGTACATTTTATTAAGGCCATGGAGGAAACAGGCACACTCATACATTGTTGATGGTAGCACAGCATGGTGCAGCTCATCTGGAATCCTGGGAATTAATTAAGTAACATTTGACAAAAATACGTACATCAGGAGATTGATCCTTGATCCAGCAATCTTATTTATAAAAATACATCTTGGAGATAGACATGCACATGATTATTTTCACTGTATTAATAATGATACAATTAAAAAATGCTTATTTATAGGAAATAAATTATCGAGCACTTTTTTTTTTTTTTAAAGAATGACATATTTTTGTGACTTGGTAAGTTGTGCTTTCCAGGATATATTAAGTGAAAACAAACAAGGTTAAAAAGAATGTAGGTGGCATACTACCTTTATATGCATATATACATATGTATGTTTACATACACACAAGCACATATTTATGTGTGCTTTTTGCATAAAGAAGCACAGGAAGAATAAATGAGAAGAGGAGGCTGGCTTCCTCTACTAGACTATGGGTACAAAGAAATAAGAATGAGATTTTTTCAGAGACTGTCTTTTAAATTTATTTTTTATGTTAATCATGTTAAAATTTTATATATTAGAAAAATAAAATGACAGCACCAGTAGAACTGAGCATAACTAGTTCCCAAGTCTTGTTTTCCACGTGCTGTTTCCCTACCAAAAGGAACTTAGTATTTGGAGAACTGATTGATTCCCGATTTTCTATCCTCAGAAAAAAGGGATATTCTAATAAATTGGAGAACTGATTGATTCACAGTTTGGAGCAGAGGAATCCCTGACTCTCTGTAATTATACTTGCAGATTTGAATATACTGAGGAAGTGATAAGGACAGGTGACAGGATATTAAATGTTGTTAAATGCTTTTAAGTGAAGAAGCACGTTATCAATAGTATCTATGTGTTTTGTATACGTTGACAGTGACTCAGCCTATCCAAACTACAATTTGTAAAACAGTATTTAAATTGCTTAAAATATTATAAATATTTTGCTATATTGGGTTTTAGAACAAGCTTACAGTACAGTAAAGCTCTGTGATCCTAAAGTTATAAAGTTTTATTCTGGTTCTCAAGACAATATGTCTTAAGACAACATGTCTTAAGAATTGGTCAAAACAATGCCTTATTTGATGCCATGTCCTTGGCCAGATACTGGATTCCTGCTTGTAATAGTGCTCTCTGCAGAGAACTGAAATTTACTATATGATAATCCTTTTATTGAAAATTTCTGTGCACACTAATGAGAAGAGGGAATTACATCTATTCTCCTTATAAGAATGCTTATAAGACACCTCCATATTGATACCTTACCATTATTTCAATAGTTCCCAAAATTTAATTTATCATCCAGTCTCACAGTACAGTTCATTCTCCCAGCTTCCTTATTTCTGCCCCATGAGTACAATATAAATGTTCATTCTTTTGGTTACGCATACTCTTCATTTTATCATTCCTTTTTAGTCTGTCTAATTCCAATGCTTGCTTCTTTCAAAATGTCTTAGATATGTGCTTTACTCTTTAGTGTGCTTTTCACCATCTAAATTCAAACTTTAAAAAAATCTTACCTTGATTGCTAAAACAGCCACTTAACTGTTCTTGTCTCCAGCTTTTCTCCACTGCAGTTCATTCTGTTGGCAGGTCAATCCTCCAACTCTTTTTTTCATTTTTCTGAACATTGGATACATAATAGGGGGGATGTGGTTCTGGTCAGGGGAATACAATTAATAAAGATACCATGATTTGAATACAATTAATAAAGATACCATGATTTGAGTCTAGAGAAACACATAAAAGATGAGGAAGTTAATAGGCAGAAACCATAGGTGTATGTGTGTGGAGAAGTGAAATTTGAGAGATGGACCAGTGGTAAGGACACTGTCTAGCTAAGCAGGTTTAGCAAAGGAGTTAAAGATTTGTCCTGAGAGATTTTAAGCTGAGAGGTGACTTTTTAAAAATTATAAGCCTTTAGAAGGCATGATCTTTTTATTTTCCTTTATATGCCCAGCATGTAGCACAATTTTTGGTTCTCAGAAGTTCAGTAAATGTTTCTTAGAAAAATAAATGACTCAGAGATTTTCATTTTCAAAATTTCTGGCCACAGTTGGAGCACTCATTGAAAGGTAGTGGCACTAGACCTGGTAGACCCAGTACATACACTCTTTAGATGACCAGGCATGAGAATGAGCTACAGCAGTATCTTTTTGCAATTGAAAAGGGGGAAATAAACACATTTTTTAAAAATAGGTATCTTGTTATTATGGGATTACGTGTATTATTAATCTAATGTGCTTTTTAGGAATTCTTACAAGGTTTTTATTTTAAAGACTTCATATTTTCCTTATTCTGGGAGCATTCTTTTGCTTATTTTTTTTTAAATTTACTATTAGTAATTTATTGCTAAGAAAGATACTTTAAGAAAGTTAAGTCTAAATTTTTTTAATGTAGGATATTCCAGAAGATATTCTTAAGAATTTAGTGGAAGAGCTTCCACAACCACGAAAAATACCTAAACGTCTGGATGAGTACACACAAGAAGAAATAGATGCTTTCCCAAGACTGTGGACTCCGTAAGTGTTTCTCTTCTTCTTCTACTCTTTTTTTTATCTTTTGATATCCTCTGTTTGCTTAACCAAATGATTAAATAAGATCCTTGAGGGCGGGAAAAGTGAACTCATTTTTTTGCTCCCATAGAAATTCAGCAGCTACTACCTACAAATAAACTGTAGATGCAGACCTTAGAACCAAAAAATTTTAAGCATTAAGACCTTGCTAGATAAGTGTGAGGATGTTCATTGGTGCCTGTAATTGTCAAATATTTTGTTTGGGTTGACCTTGGACTGATGATAGTCTTTAGGAAAAATACATGAATTGTTATTAATCTAAAATGAAATGATTCTCAGTTTTCCACATTGTTTTATAAACCAAGACTATTATCTAATGAAAAATCATTAATTCTGGATACTTGTTAATAGTCTTGGTCCAAAGAGAAAAACAAAATTTAAAAATACTTTTTGCTCTCCTCTATGCAGTTTTCTCTACCTAGGGTCCGTAAAACTGCTAAGATGTTCTGTTTCCCATCTAGCTGTTCATAGCCTTTTTTGACAGGGATATCCGGATCACCAAGCATTTAAATGTAACTTCCTTAGGCAGTCCTTCCTGTAATCTTTGAACTGGGTTAGGCTCTCCATTATGGGTTTTCATTGTATACTTCCATTTACTGATTTATTCTAGATTAATTATATATTTGTGTAATTATCTGTTTACTATCTGTTTTCCTTGCTAGACTTCATGAGAAAGCTACATGTTTGTCTTATTTAGTACTGAGCATGGTGTTGGACAAATTAAGTAGACACTCAGTATTTATAGCATAAATTAAGACACACACACACACACACACACACACACACACGCACACATATATATGCAGACACTTTAAGTTCTGGGGAACGTGTGCAGAACATGTAGGTTTGTTACATAGGTATAAACGTGCCATGGTGGTTTGCTGCATCCATCACCCTCTCATCTGCATTAGGTATTTGTCCTAATGCTACCCCTCCTATAGCTCCCCACCCCCTGATCAGGCCATGTGATGTCCCCCCCTACCCACCGCTGCCGCGTCCATGTGTTCCCACTGTTCAGCTCCCACTTACGAGTGAGAACATGCAGTGTTTGGTTTTCAGTTCTTGTGTTAGTTTGCTGAGAATGATGGTTTTCAGCTTCATCCATGTCCCTGCAAAGGACATGAACTCATCTTTTTTTATGGCTGCATAGTATTCCATGGTGTATATGTGCAGCATTTTCTTTATCCAGTCCATCATTGATGGGCATTTGGGTTGGTTCCAAGTCTTTGCTGTTGTGAACAGTGCTGTAATAAACATAAGTGTGCATGTGTCTTTACAACAGAATGATTTATAATCCTTTGGGTGTATGTCCCATAATGGGATTTCTGGGTCAAATGGTATTTCTAGATCCAGATCCTTGAGGAATTGCCACACTGTCTTCCACAATGGTTGAACTAATTTACACTCCTAGCAACAGTGTAAAAGCATTCCTATTTCTCCGCATCCTCTCCAGCATCTGTTTTCTCCTGGCTTTTTAATGATCATCATTCTAACTGGCATGAGATGGTATCTCAATGTGATTTTGATTTGCATTTCTCTAATGACCAATGATGATGAGCTTTTTAAATATGTTTGTTGGCTGTATAAATGTCTCCTTTTGAGAAGCATCTGTTCATATTCTTTGCCCACTTTTTGATGGGGTTGTTTTTTTCTTGTAAATTTAAATTCTTTATAGATTCTGGATATTAGCCCTTTGTCAGATGAATAGACTGCAAAAATTTTCTCCCATTCACTAGGTTGCCTATTCATTCTGATGATAATCTCTTTTGCTGTGCAGAAGCTCTTTAGTTTAATTAGATCCCATTTGTCTATTTTGGCTTTTGTTGCCAATGCTTTTAGTGTCTTAGTCATGAAATCTTTGCCCATGCCTATGTCCTGAATGGTATTGCCTAGGTTTTCTTCTAGGGTTTCTGTGGTTTTAGGTCTTATGTTTAAGTATTTAATCTATCTGAAGTTAATTTTTGTATAAGGTGTAAGGAAGGGATCTAGTTTCAGCTTTCTGCATATGGCTAGCCAGTTTTCCCAACACTGTTTATTAAATAGGGAATTTTTTTCCATTGTTTTTGTCAGGTTCATCAAAGATCAGATGGCTGTAGATGTGTGGCGTGATTTCTGAGGCCTCTGTTCTGTTCCATTGGTCTATTAGATCTTTTTTGGTACAAGTACCATACTGTTTGATTACTGTGGCCTTGAAGTACAGCTTGAAGTCAGGTAGCGTGATGCCTCCAGCTTTGTTCTTTTTGCTTAGGATTGTCTTGGCTATGTGGGCTCCTCTTTGGTTCCGTATGAAATTTAAAGTAGTTTTTTCCAATTCTGTGAAGAAAGTCAATGGTGGCTTGTCGGGGATAGCGTTGAATCTATAAATTACTTTGGGCAGCATGGCCATTTTCATGATATTGATTCTTCCTAACCATGAGCATGGAATGTTTTTCCGTCTGTTTGTGTCCTCTGTTATTTCCTTGAGCAGTGGTTTGTACTTCTCCTTGAAGAGGTCCTTGTAAGTTGCATTCCTAGATATTTTTTGTGTGTTAGCAATTGTGAGTGGGAGTTCACTCATGATTTGGCTCTCTGTTATTGGTGTATAGGAAGGCTAGTGATTTTTGCACATTGATTTTGTATCCTGAGACTTTGCTGAATTTGCTTATCAACTTAAGGAGATTTTGGACTGAGATGATGGGATCTTCTAAATATACAGTCATGTCATCTGCAAAGAGAGACAATTTGGCTTCCTCTTTTACTAATAGAATACGCTTTATTTCTTTCTCTTGCCTGATTGTCCTTATTCAATACTATATTGAATAAGAGTGGTGAGAGAGGGCATCCTTGAAGACCTAAATTTTTTTTTAATCACCTTTTATAAGTGACTTTAGGAAAAAAGTCTCTAGAAAATATGAAACAAAGACCACTTTTCATTTTTTTCACATTTATCAGTATCTGTAGTACTCTCATTAATTTATATGCATGTTTATTATTTGTCTCCCTACACTCATAGCAATAATAAAAATAGCAAGCACTAACAAAGCATTTATTGTGTGCTTTACATATATCAACCTAGTAATCCTCAGAACAATCTAGTGAGTCAGTACTATTTTTATCCTTATCTTTTAAACGAGAAAATGTAGGCACACAGAGATTAAAGTAACTTGACTAATATCACATAGTTGTAAATGGTAGATTAGGGATTAAGCCTGAGTGAGTAGCTAGCTGCTGGGTCATGCTCCTAACCCTGCTGGAATGCCCCTTCTTGCATTGGCATGTCAGCTTCAAGGGAACAGGGACATTGTCTGGTTCGGCATTTGCATCCCCAACACTTAGAAATCATACTTGGCACATAATGGGTGCTCAGAAAGTTTTTTGAAAGAATGAAGAGATGAGCTTTTTCTCCAAAAATTAATTGTGAAGTTGTCATGAATAGCTTAATGAAGTTTTAGAAAAACCCAAACCAAGATTCAAATCTTGCCTTTATAGTAGCTAACTCTATAACCTTATGTAAGTCATCTGTCATTTTGAGCCTTAGTATCTTCATCTCAACTCAGTTTCTTTAATTGTAAATTAGAGCTAGTCCATACTTCCAAGAATTGCTGCAAGAAATAAGTGAGCTACTTATCACACTTGAAATGTTGACCAAGTTTTTAATAGGAGATTTTTTTTGCTGTTGCAAATTCTGTGTTGTTTTAACATGCTTGCTAGTGTAGTGTTTTATTGTAAATGTACTTAAATTGATGTAGTTTGAAAATATTCAGCTTTGAAAAGTTACATACTAAAAGCATTTTAAGTTGTCTTTGAAGTTTTGACAGGTTACCATCCTAGAACAAGTTCTGTAAATATATACCTGATTTTCTTACAAAAACACTGTGATAAATGAATTTATATTCCTGACCAAGAGGGGTGTGGTACTCTTTTTAAAACTAGAAATAACAAATGAGATGTTAAATCATATATGTGCAAATACATATTATACACTTGAAGTCATATATCATAAATATTCTAAAGTGTATTCTAAATCAGTTAAACCAGGCAGCATAATATAATAACAATTCACAAATTATATTTAGTGTTATTATATTCAGAATATTGACCAAAAATGCTCATTTTGCCAAGTGATTTCCACTTTCTTTTAAAACAAATTAGAAGGTGCCCAAGTGCCTTCATTTTATTAATAGAATTAGAAAAGACTTTTCTATAGCTATTTTTAAGGAGACTTTTAGAGAAACTTAGAACCACTTGATGCATTTTTTTATGCATTTTTTTACTACTCTGGGAATGGATTTTCCTGCCCTCTCTTTTCATTCCAGATTTCCCTGAGGCAGGAATATGCATTAGACACCAAGTTTTTCTTTGTGCTTTATTAAAATTGTGATCTTTCCTCATAAATAGTAACACACACATGGTAACTTGTATTTTTAAAATAATAAAATGGGTATACATTTACTGAAGTGTACAGATGGTATAGGTGTACTAGTCATTTATATAAATCATTCTATATTTCTTTCTCCCTGCACATTTGAGCTGACATCAAGTCTAGTTAGTCTTTATTACATGAAAAGCATGTCACCAGGAAAAAATAGTTATTTTTGGATTAACCGAAAACTTGTCTAAGAAATAGATGATCATTTACTTCACGGCTCTTCTGTAGAACTTTCTGCAATGATGAAAAAAGCTCTCAGCCAGGCATGGTGGCTCATGCTTATAATCCCAGCACTTTGGGAGGCCAAGGCAGGAGGATCTCTTGAGTCCAGGAGTTCAAGATTGGCGTGGACAAGATGGCATGACCATGTCTCCACAAAAGCAAAAAAAAACAAAAAAATTAGCCAGATGTGTTGGCACGTGCTTGTAGTCCCAGCTACTTAGGGGGCTGAGGCAGGAGGATCCATTGACCCCAGGAGGTTGTGGCTGCAGTGAGCCATGATCATGCCACTGCATGATCGTGTCCAGCCTGGACAACA